TCATTTTTAGAAAGAGAGAAAGAACTTAATTTTATTTGTCCTCACTTAATTATATTTTCAAAATTTTAAATTTAATATGACCTTTGGCATTAGAGGTTAACTTTGGATAACTATATTTATGTTTCTGAATATATAGTAAATTTAAGTAAAAATTTTCAATGATAGAGGTTAATTCTAGGGGATAAGATATTTGGTAAAAGAGAATAAGACTATGTTTTTCTATTTTTAGTAAAGGAAATTTGTATTTTTGAAGTATTAAGAATCTTACAAGATTCATGTAAAAAGAAAAGAATTAAACTTTATGAAATCTTTAAGTTAATATAAATTTGTTAAGTGAAGAAATGTAAAAAATTTTTAACTTTAAGAAGAAGATAGTGAAGTTCAAAGCACGTTTTGGAAGGTAAAGTATAACTATTTCGTCGACAATCTATTTCACTTGCAAGAATACTTTGAAAGAACTAGTTAGAACGAGAAAAAACTTGAGAACTTGAAAAAGAGATGATTGCAAAGTACTCATAGTTATTCTCTAAAACTAAAGTGTTATAACTTGGACTAATCTGCATCGAATCAATCATGCGTGGAATAAGCCAATTACACTCCTCATCCCACAAACCAATGAAGCACTGTAGCAGCTTCACTTTTTGTAAGTTGCTCGACACTGTCTCTTCTTAAATTAACATATCAATCACACTACTCTCTCCTCCAATTGCCTTAAATTGTAATATAAGGAAAAATAATGTTAGGGCATTGCATCTTTTCCCATTCTCCATAACTATCAAACCTATTTAGCCATCAGATTTTTAACCTCCCCCACAAATCCTAGCTACTAGCCTTCCCCTTCTTCACACTCATTTGACAGCCATTGACCCTCTCCCTTGCATCCTTCAACTAAGCAATTGCGCCCATGAGATTTTTTTTACCTTTTTATTCTTCTACTTTTCTGTTTTCACCATTACTTTCATAATGTACAATTAGTTTTGGTTAAAGTTAGTTTTAATTTAATTATTGTCCTTCTATTATTTTGTTGATAATAAATTTATACTTTTGACCACTAGGTAAGATTCAATGTTGCAATAATTAATTTGTTAGTGGCATAGCATAGATTGATTAAGTTACATTAATCTAAGTTAAACATTGATTTAAAAGCCATTATCTGTGCATGATAACTAACTGAGGTTCTTGCTGTGTATGAACAACAAGTATAGTTCTCAGAAATGTTATTAGTGGGATTTCAAGTAAATTTAGATTTTTGTTATGCTTATTTGAAAAAACGTAACTATTATTATGAAAAGATAAATATATAATTTTTTGTTAGAGACATCATCCTTTTTATTTATATTACGTTCTTATTTATTTGATAGGTTTCTAGTTCCACTTTCATTTTCACTTATATCACTATAAACATACTGTAAAATTTATTTATGTTCATAATGAAGTAGCTAGTTACATTACTAGCTAACCTTGATTTATTGGTACGTAAATTTCAATATAATGAAGATATATATGTAATTATAATTTTTATTTTTCCTACACGTTATAATGTAAATATAATTATTCATGTAAATATAATGCCTTGAATTATCAATAACATGAGCCATATTATTTATAAGATAATCATTATAATTTGCAAAAGTTATTTGCTTATTTGCAGTGGCACATGTTGGTAGAACCTTTTTTATATTAGTTAACTAAACTAACGGGATCACAGAGTGATAACTTCACCAATATATATATATATATATATATTATGGTGTTTGTCATCCTAGCTTTTGAATGTCTAATAAAACCAACAACAAATATATAAATTGAATTTCAGTTAAATAATAAAGGATTCTTAAATCAAATTGAATGAGACATGATTATACCAAATATATATTGGGAGATATTAAATATATAGGAAGTCATAAATTCCAATTTATTAAATAGTTGACTATAAATATCATCATATCAGAAATTACTCCAAAACATTAAATTACATTAAGTACTCCAAGATCCTTGAAATCTGACAATAATTTGATTATATTTATTATCTGATAAGTGTATATAATTAATTGTGCCCTTTTATTGTTTGAGTTGTATGTTTCAATAATTTGCAATTTATGTTGTAATGGATGGTAGTAATTAATTGGTTGATTCATCAAACACTCTCATTATTTTAACTTTTCCATTATAGTTTCTATCAGATTAATTTTGGGACCATCATCATTGGAGCAGATTTTTGGGCTGTAATTTTTATTTTAGTATTTTTAAGTTTATATAGAAGTTTATTTGTATGTATTTCGAGTCTGAATAATTTTGCTTTTGTAGTAATATTCTTTCAGTCCTTTTCTCATTAGATGTTGTTGAACTTTCTTATTGGGCTGTAGTTATAAGTTTTATTGATCGCATGAAATGTTGCATCTCTTTTGCTTATACTACTATATTTTATTTACAGCCGTTTGTGTATAAACTCTCTGTTATGACTAAAATTTATCTTTTTTTCATCATATCCCATGTTCGTGAGATGTATCGCCTTCTAGACCCGACAAAAACAAATACCAATTAGCATTGCCAATTTTCATTAAAGAGGGATGTTCCATGAACAATGTGATTTAAATGAAAAGACATGAACAAAATCAATCTACTGAAAAACTGATGAACTAAGAACATCACTATGCACTTTTTTTTAATTTCTGTAGAAAATCATCAAGTATCTAGGCTGCAAAACATTGGAAGCAAGACAAACAAGATAGATGCAAGTTGAATAAGTAAGACCGAGTTGCTGACCTGGAGATATTGCAAGAACAGCAACAGACATGCCTATAAATGCCCACGCAGCAACACCTCCAGCCAAACCATCAAGTCCGTCAGTCAAATTAACCCCATTGCTCATAGCAGCAAAGCAGAATGTTGTCAAAGCCAGGTAATATTTTCCCAAATAAAGGAGGCCAAATGGTTGAGGGAGATGAACTGATAAATTCCTGTAAAATTTTTTTTGGCTCGTGTCAAGAAAAAAAAAACATTAATTCTCCTTTCACACGTGCAAAGTCCAGAAGCCAACTTTAGTTTTGCTTAAAATTTAGTTTCCATTAGGGCTTCATCAGAAATAAAATGAAAAGCAGTAGTTATTTTGACTATTCGCCGTTATAAATTGGGGAAATTTACTTACATACCACACAATTCTTATGTATTTACATATCTAACACCCAAAGTTTGATCTATATTTACAATTATAACACCTTAGTGTCATAAACCTATGCATGAAAATGTGTATTTCACTTTTAAGAAGACAGTGATGATCATATTTTTTATGTAATTTTAAAGATTTGAGTGCTGTGCATATAAATAAGAAATTTTAGATGTTAGATATGTAAATACACAAGAATTGTGTGGTATGTATGTAAATGCCCCTAGAAATTATCCTTGGAAGGTGTTAGATCTTATTGGTCGCAAGAAACTTTACATATTAGACGGCATTGAAATATTCACCCAGTTCAAGCAGAAAGAAAAACAAGCTCCAACTGCAGCCTGTTAATCATCATAAACCATACACAAATTGTGAATAATATATTAAAAAAGGAAAAAAATATTTTACAGATTTGAGCAAATTTACCTGTAAACTGAATTTTATCCATCCGGGAAGGCCATAATTGTGACCCTTAATATAACTTAAGAGATCATCAATTAAACCAATTGCTGCAAATGCAAGAGTTGCTAAAACTGATCCAAAAACTAGCGAAGAATTGTAATTAGCAATTTTACCAGCAACAGCTATGCCAATTGGAATAAAGAACAATCCACCCATAGTTGGGGTTCCTCTTTTAGAGGAGTGGGAACGAGGTCCTTCTTCCCTAAGGACCTGATGGATCCTCATTTTATTAACGATTGGAACATAAAGCCAACCAGCAAATCCAGACAAAGCAGCTGATATTAAGAAAGTACGCGAAAATTGAAATGGTTGCAATGGTAGCCTTGCAGTCCACCATGAATACCAATCAAATGCCAGAAGAAATACAAGTAAACAGGTTATTAGTGCTGCATTCATCTGAACACCACCTGGAATTCTTAGAATAGAAATAAAGCAAAATAGGATTAGCTCAGTGATTTGAAGAGAAAAAGAAGATGAAAAACCGAAATAAAACAATAAAAATTATGAAAATGTAAAGGCTTCCATTAGCTATACAGATAGATGTAGGAAAATAGTTGGTTCCATGTGTAAAGGAACTAAATGTCTCTAAGCCATTGCCGGTGTGCCAAAAACTGTTTCCTTGCCACATTTTCTATAAAGCTGGGGTCTGAGGCTCACTAGGAAAGGTTCCATGCGATTATTGATGAGTGGAGACTTTGCTGTTATGAAGATTGATAGCGAAAAACAGGTAAATGATAATGAGACTTCGTGTTGACATCTAAGGTGGGAGCTATGAAGCTTCAACTGTACATTTCATTAACATGACATTATATAGTTATCCTTATAAAGCATTTATATTATATAGTTTGCCTAAAAGCAAAATGATAGGCTTTATCTCGTCAGCTATCATCTTCTCCATTAAGCCGGAGTCAATAAATGTGCTGATTATATTTGTATGAACCTTGCCGGAGTGGAAAAAGATGAGATATAATTAGACATGATTATTAGCATGCAAATAAGAGAAGAAGACTTACAAGTTAATCATACTTGACTAGTTGCTTTTGCTATAGTGCCAGGATGAGGCTTATAATATTGAATCAGTTCTTTCAAATTCAGGAATACAAGTTTGATGTATTTCTTCGCTTGTATTTATAGATCGGCTAGTGGCCATTATTGATGTGGTAGGCATTTTTAAAGAAATAACATAATTCTGAGCGCATTCCTTCCCTTTCAATTGTACATTGACTCGTTATGTAAGTCAAAAGTAGATACAAGTAAGAATGGTGGAAGATTTGGAACAAGATTGTCAATAGATGTTGCATGGCAATATCAAACCAGTCCAAAGGATGCCAATATAAATACATACATACATACATACATACATACATGCATACATACATATACATACAAGTTATGTGTTAATGGTTTACATGTTGGTCTCCATACTAGCCACTTAAATGATTCTAGTTTAGATAGCCCTCTGAAGCATATTTATGCCATCGAACCGAACATAGAGCGTAAGGAGGGAAAAAGAGAGTAGGATAATGCTGAACTCAGGAGAACAAAATTAATAATCTCCTTATGTCTTTTTGAAAATAGTCATTTTTACATGTTACTGTTATCATATTTATCGTAAATAGAAGTTATATTATGAAATATCGGTAAAGCTCTTAATATTCTCTATTGTCCTTCGATCATATTAATCGCCAAGACTGTCATTACATTCGCCAAATCTTTTCTTATAGATTGTCATGACCTTTTCGACTCGGTCAACTGGATAATTTGCTCCATGTCGGTTGAGAGTTCTTTGTACTCACTGGAGTTGATTCTATGACATATGTTTCGTCTATGGTCGTCGGTTCTAGTTCATCGTATTTTGACCATACAACTATTAGTTCTTCAATTTTCATGCACATTAGGAGGCTGTAAGCTGCCATAATAGCAAGAGAATTAAATGAAACAGTGGTTAGAATTTTATTTATTTAATTAATTCCTAGTAATTGATACTTTCATGATTTATGTGCAATTGAATGCTTATAAATAGGCGGCATTTTCTTTCCAAATCTACTTGCTCATTTTCTTTTATTTTGTGCTCCAGTCACTTTTCTGAGAGACTTCTTACGATTGATAAGTTCCATGAATCTCAGGCTCCCATCTCGAGTAAGGTTCTGCTTTGTGGATTATTGATTGAAGAATAAGGTAAGAGATGAGGGTGTTCGTAAGAAGTTGGCGGTCGTAAGAAGTTGGCGGTGAAGAAGAGGAGATGCTCACTCTCGGGTCATGTTGGATTTTCTGGAGTGACTTCGGGGGTACTCTGCTTGTGATTGTGGTTATCCCTTGGACGACCTCCATCATTCGCTCGTCCCATATGCCAACACCTTCTGCCATAGTCCCTAGCTTGATGGAAGGCTAGGCTTTCATGTCACCTATTGGTTCATGTCCATTGCACCAGACATAACCTCAAGAGTCAATGGCATTTGAAATGATCAGAGTTATGGGTATGTTCTATAATTCAGCGAAACATTTTCTAGGTGATTGTCAGTTGATGATTTTATCAATATCAGGAATCACATATTACAAGACTCCTTCAGGTTTGAATGAGGCTCCATTGGCATCCGTCGAGATTAGGAGTAAACACCTCGTGAACCTCTCATTTTGGACCATGAAATAAGGATAAAGGGTGTGTTCGGCCCATGCGGATCAGGATGAGTTGGCCTGCCATTTACCTTAGATCAAGAGCTCTCTAGCTCGTGATACTAGTGTCCAACAAAATTCGGAGGTGCATATTGTACTGGCTCGCATGGCTTAGTTGGAAAAGGAGAAATTGGTGGTAAAGTAGATCTTGTCAACACTACAGCGGTACCTTGCAAGTTTGCAAGAGCTGTCCTAGTCTCTCTAGACTTAGATAATGTTTGATAGTTTTATTCTGTCCAAGTATGGTGGTGAGTGTTTGTTCTTGATGTTGGTTCGACTTGGGTGTGCCTCGTTGAAGTGACCTCAGATCCATGTATTAACTATTTTCTCTCTTCGCGTTGAGCAGGAGATTTATAATGATTACATTTGATAATTTTTCTTTAAGTGAAATGTCATCTTAGGTTTTCACGTTGGTCCTTTTTGGTTTAGTTTTTCGAGGTAGCTACTCCCCTGTCCTATCTTGTGATAGTTGAAATTTTTCTGCTTTGACCCTATAAATAGGGGTGTGGTTGCTAAAAAGATCCTTGTCCCTCACAGTTCTTTTTTGTACGTGCTTTCATTCTTGTCTTCAATCTATAAATGGCTCCAGGACATCAAGAAGTAGCTCCCCATTGCCCTATTGCAATACTTTCTAATCTATTTCATCCAAGAAGTCATTGGCAGAGGGGCTGGAATGCCAATCATGCCATGCTTTTAGCCCTACCATTTGCCTTAGGGCTGCCAACCCAAACAAGAGAGCAAACATCGTGAGGGGGGATGAAATGGTGATATGACGGGACCAATTGTTTCTTGGCCTTCAGTTACCACTATGCGAAGAATTGTGCACTATTTTGAGGTACTATGTGGTTATTATTGCACATAGAATGTCCAACTCTATTACTGTTATAATGACATTCGTGATTTTTGCTTCCTGGAAGGAAGGAGATGGTATGGTCAACTGAGCTCTTTAAGTATTTATTTTCCTTTTGATTGTACCCAGGTGGGTATACACAATTTTCATCCACAAGTCACTTTCACTTTGGCCATCTTAAGAACAAGGTTAAGGACGAAAAGTTAAAATTCTACTTTGTCTTCTCTCAAGGCAGCTCATTAATCCCCACGAATTTTAATGTACTACCTTTTCTAAAATCTATAGGAAATGTTTATAAATTTTCATGATTAAAAAGATGTTGGTTCCCGACAATCTTGGTGAGATGTGCGAGGGTAACTGGCATGTTTCAGATGCATTGCAGACTTTTTGTTTGACTGTCGTTTTTTAGAAAAAGAGATTGAAGAGTTGTTCATGATTGAGCGACCGACCAATAGAAAAGAAATGATGTTTGTGCCTATTATAGATAACCCGAAGGAAGAGCCAGCCGGCGATGCAGGTCCTAGTTAGAAGAAGGCCACAACTGAGGCGAGACCACTTAAGAACGTTTCAGATGGCCCTTTAGAGGTCTCATCCTAATCTGAGATTCTCTCCTTGGATCAAAGGAGTATTGCTATTAGTTTTTCTTCTTTGGAGACACTTTTGGTGGGGACTAAAGACAAAGAGCTAAGGGAGGAAGGGTTGTCATCTTGAAAGAATGTTGTTGTCTGACTCCCCTTGGTCAAGCCACTACATGTGAGCCCATGGTTGGACGAGCAAAGGGAAGGGGATCCATATCAGCTGGATTGCTTGGAAAGTAAGTAGCATCAAAAAGGAAAGGCTCCTTCCAGAGAGCGTTACCAAAAGCATAAGTGGGTGATTCCCCTCTTGGGTGTCCATACTGAAGAAGATGATAAGGCGAGAAGAGCAATTTGTTCGGGTTGACCTTAGAAAAAATTGAAATTCCCAGAATCCTTCTCTACTCGACATGCTCTTACACTGGGTTCCGAGTATTAGTGCAAGAATTTAGTAGGGATGAATGGAAAATGATGATTTGTTCACCTCTGACTTGAGGAGTATACAAAAATTCTTGGTGTTAGCAACAGATTCAAAGCCAGAAGGTGTCGAGGATACTCAGAGCGAGGACAAGGGAAATGATGCAGGCCCTCCAATGTTTGATTTGTTGTAATTTTTTATGTTTTTGACAACAAAAAGAAAACAAAACATGAAATAAATATTATTTATGAAATGAAATTTTGAGTGCACTTTTTGTTATCTAAGTGATCACTACATTGAGCTTTTATATGTTTTAGCATTTTGGAACCGTTGTGTGTTACTCTCTGACTGGTTTTGTCGTATGTTGCTAATTTAGAAGGTATTGGAGGCCCAACCCAAGTCTATTTTTACCCATGGATTTCTCAGCTCTTATCAGTTAGTTCGTCACCTTAGACGGGCCGTGTTTCTTTGTCATACTTATTAATGCAGATTTGGTTGTTGTTTTCTTCGAGGTAACCATCTAAACTCACTTTTGGGGTGATTCACAAGCTACTAAATGCAGATATTTCATCGTAGGTAAGGGAATCTGACCACCAGAGCTTATATTGTATTCTGATGCTTATGACACATGTGCTTGTGATGTTTGAGCTTTTTCGGGCGATCATATCTAGTATTATACACATGAACATCAAGGTCAATAATTCTAGCATATTTTTGAGTCAGTTTAGATGGTCAAGATATCTGACAAAGAAGACATTTCAACACCTTCTCACTTAGGCCAAAGCCTTTTTTATGAATTTAAGTTCCCCGAGTGTTTAAGAAGAAACACAAGTAACAAGCAAGCCTAGTTCCCCAAGTTGATCTAGCTAATTTGTTTTGTGGCAACTGGTTTTATTGCT